CTCCAGCCGTGGGCCGTCAGCAGGCTGTGCTTGCAGCCCTTCCTGTACAGAGACTCTCAGCCGATAAGCTATTTCTGTGTAGTGCCCTTTCCTCTTTTGCCAGTGTACTGTAGTAGCACTCAACAGCCGTGCACTCGGAGCAATGGCACGCTCCCGGGCATGGCTGGGAACGTGCCCTCCTCTGACACACGTGTGCGTGCACACTCGCACAGGCACATACTTGTCCCATTCAGCAAGGAAAGACTTGTAACTGATCACGTTGTTGTTCAAATTCTTAGTTATTGTAAAGCCTTTTTTTTAAAGGAGGAAAAAAAAAAAAGGATTAATTGTGGTCTCTGTGACCAGAATGCATGCAGATGAGCTACTGGAAAAGAGAATTTGGCAGAATGAGAAACAAGGAATGAAAGGGCCTTGATTTATATATATATTTTTTTTTTTTTTGCCCTGCTAGCAAAGGATGGCTGCATGGGAGGGTGCTAGGCAGTGTGGCAAAGCTATACAGCTGCTTACTCTGTTTTGACGGTTTCTCTCTTCAAGTCAAGAGGTTTCTTTCTGTATTTGGACAGACCACATATCCTATATGGATCTTTTTCACCCTTTCCCTTCAAAGGGAATTAAATTTGGATTAGGGTAAGAAGGGGTACAGACAACACCTTGGTTTGGTTTAATGTAGTTTAGGGAAAAAGGATTGGATCTTTTGAGTCTGTCTAGAACAAAAACTCTTTCACACTTGCTGGTGTTTTTTAATGGTGATCTCTTCTTCATTCAGTCTGGGTAGGTTTGGCACTTGCTAGCAGGCTGGTGAGCATCCTGCCCTGTTCCTCGGATGATGCATGTCTGCAGGAAGGGGAGAACTGCTTGCTTTTCTCTCTCCCTGGGGTTCTGCCAGAAAGCCAGGCCCGGCCTGGCCCTCTGCTCAGGTCAGGGTGAGGGCAGAAGCAGGCTCAGGCAGCAACCGGTGTTCCTGCCCTGTCTGCGGGTGGCCGTGCGGAGCCGAGGGTCGGGCTGCTCCCCAGCACCTGCTGCTCCCCTGCGGCCAGCGAAGCCCCTCGGGAAATGGGGTCCAACCGGGACTTGAAAGGAGCAAACATAAGCCAGGAAAGAGGCCAAAACCTAGCTTGCTTCTGCTGCTTTGCTTCTGTTCCCATGAAAAACAATGGCAGTCACTGTCAGAGCAGTTGGGAGCCCAGGGCTTGCTTCTGCTCCCGTTGGCAAGAGTCGGCTGCTCTGAGGCGCTGGCAGCTCGGCATGTCACCAAATCCCCAGTGGGACAGAGGGAGGAATCTCTTCCCGGCAAAGCAAGAGGAGAAGCAGTTGAGCTTTTCAGAAAGCTGGCCTCATCTTCCCAGGCTGGCAGAGGCGTAACCTGCTCCATCGCATAGCTGTGGCCAACCTGGGCATGTCTCTGGCTTCTCTGCCAGTGGCTTGGCACATCACTGCTTGCAGTTTTGATAACTGTGTCTCATAGGGTATCTCTTCCTTGTTTCCACGTTATTATTGACCCCAGAGATCCTGGTCTTTATGTAGCTTTTTAGCTCTTCTACCCCTTGTTTTGAATAAGAAAGCAGCCCTAGTCGTTCAGCTGGGTGCAGCACAGCCAGGGCTGGAGCACCCAGAGCGGACCTGGAGGGAGGAAGGAGCAGTCTGTTCCTATTTCCAGATCCCACGCGGAGCTCCCCCTGCGCGGCCATCGCGAGCGATGCCCAGCGGTCCCTGGCCGGTGGTGGGCGTACGAGGCGGTGGTGATGGAAGTGGGGTCGCTTGTCCCGGAGACTCGCCGCCGTCTCTCGGGAAGCTGCGTCTCGCGAGCACTTTTTTCCTTGTGGCATTGCTGCCGTCTGTTCCTTGTCGGACTTTGAACATTTAAGAAGTGAATCAGTTTCCAGACCCAAACCGCTGGCTAGTTTCCTTTGGGTTTTTTTTGTCATGAAGTTTATTGAAATTTTTTTTTTTTTATAAACCCAGCAGGCTGGTGTTTTTTTTGACTGCATTATTGTTTCATTGATATTTTATTCCTGGGGGGCTGAGGGGGGGATCCTCTTCCCCACATTGTTCCCCTTCTCAGGGGATTCAGAGGTGGCTTAAACAAGTACAAGGACCTTATTGGCAAGACTCTGCATCCCCTGGGTCTCTGATGCTGGCCAGCGGGGCTGCTCACGCCTGGCTGGCCCTGCAGAGCAGAGCTGGCTCTCTGCTCCAGTCTCGGGGCCAGGCAAAACTTGTGGGCTCCGCTCTCCCAGTTTCCTGACCATTAGTTGGTGGAAGCCTGTTGCAAAGAGTTGGGAAGTTCAGTGTAACTTTTTTACTAACTTTTTTTTTTAAAACCAGTATAAGCTGAGTGAATGTCCAAAAGAATAGGCTTAGTTGTGACTTGGTGAAGGAGATGAGTTTCAACTGGAAATTGTGATTGGAAAAAGGGGGAGAAGGATGTTGCTCCTCCATCTTCTTTTGTATGGTCGGCACTTTACACGGGGGCCTTCGTGCTGTCCTGACCCTCGGTGCGACGGGCAGCAGGCGTGTGATCTCTCCCCCCCCCATTGCCACATCACTTTGCCCCCTGCAGAAAGTTAATTAGCCCTTTTAAATGTGTGCTTCAGTTTTTAGAGGGTTCCGAACCAGGCCAAGACCTGAAGAATACTTATTTCATTCTCATCTTAATAGGAGGGGTTGACGTTTTATTTATTTTTGTCGTTGCTGTTTTCTTTTTAAACTGGTGGCTGTGCAGCTGGACTCTGCGCACGCTGTTGTGAACCTCTGGGAAAACCTCACTCCAGGTACGCTAGAGCACCTAGGTTAAACACCCCTCCTGGAGAGGGGACCCCCGCTCCCCTCCTCGCTGCCTTACCCGGGAGCTGTGAATTCACCCTCCGCCCCTCCTGCCCCGTCCCCTGCCACCCTGCCTAGCCTCTAGCTGAACCAGTTCTTGCTCTGGTGACTGAGCCCTGTGGACCAGGCCGGTCCCCAGGGATGAGCTCCTACAAACACTGCCTGGTCGCAGATGTTTGTCCTTGAAAAGAAATCCCCCCCTCCTGCTTCCCTCCCGAGAGCTGCGTCGTCCGTCAGCCCACCCGCACCACCTGAGCCTGACACCCTCCTCAGCTCCGCGTCGCCCCTGCCCTGTCTGGAGGGAGCGGACGCGGAAACCTGGGAAATGAAAAAGGAATTTGGATGAAGCTGTGAGCGAGAGGTGTGGCTGAGCCTCAAACACAAGGAGTAACGGTAGAGCCCGTATTTTTGTGGGGGGAGGGCGGGGAAGGGGAGATCATGTTTTATTTTCTTGAAAGTTAATTGAGCTTGGTGATCTTCAGATGAGGCGCGCACTTGATTTATATCAAATTCTATAGAGAGATTGCTGATATTTTTGGAAAGGGAATGGGTCTATGCAAACTTCCAAAATTGCTTGAAAGATAGTTTAACGTTTTTTTACTTTGAAATCTAAAGATAAATCTAACTTTTTTCTTAAAGCAGAAGTGCGTTTAGAAAGAGAAGCTACTTCCACTGCTCTATTTTGATGATGATTCTTGGAAAGTTTGGGCTGGAGGGAATGACTATTTTTCACCATTTTTATCTTGCTCCTCTAGTTTTTTGTTTCTTTTTCTAACGGAATGCTGTGCCGTCTTTGATTCAACAGATCGTGTTTGTATTTTCTGTATCTGGTTCCTAACGTAGAGAAATAACAAATATATGAGGAAATCAATATAATGTCAAATGTTGTTATGGTTTGGGGGGAAAAAATAAAGGGTTTTGGTACTTCACAATGATCCTTCTTGCTTTGTTTCTTGTTTTAAATGTATTTAAATACCTGCTAAGGAAGCAGAAGGGTGAGACAGAGCCTGCTAGCATGCAGGGCCCTGGAATAGGATTTAGCTTTGCCCTCTGGGATTCCCTTGGCGGCTGGGAGTGGAGATCCCTGCCAGCCCTTCCCTGCAGACGGGAGAAGGGCTGGAGGGGGGGAGCTGGCAGCACGGCACAAGTCCAGTGGATGCAACAGCCCGCAATCCTGGGGGAAGGCGAACTGGTGCCAGTGGGCTGGCCACGGCTCGCGTCCTAGCCCAGGCTGGCCTGGGGGAAGGTGCTGCAGCCCCGGGGGGCTCCGGGGAACGCCTGCGGGCCGTCACGGCTTGTACCAGGGCCGCCCCTCCTCTTCCACCCCAGCCTGGCAATCCCATTAACAGAGGCTGGAGCCAAATTTGGTGTCTGGGTGCTCGCTGCTGATGCGTGCAAAGGCTGGAGGGGACCAGGGCCCCTGGGAGGAAGCGGCTTTGCCTTCCCCACCCTCCCAAAGCTTCGGCCTCGCACGCTGCTCAGCTACACCTCAGGGGAAGGCAGGGCCTTCCCCTCAGCTGCCTTCCCTTCCTCAGACGATCCTGCTCCCTTGTGTTCCTCGGCGGCTGGGTCTGGCTTTTCCCCCCCCCCCAGCCGCAGCGCGTGGAGGAACGGCCGGGGCGCCAGACGCGAGGGCGGCGGTGGCGCAGTGGGGTTTGAGCTGTCAGTTTCAAGCCGGGTCGCTTCCATCAGAATGTACAGACGTGGGGTGGCGGCTGACACCAGAGCGCCCTGCTGCTGAGGAACCTCGCCCAGGCCTCGGGAGCTTCGCGCCTGCCCTGCCCCTCCGCCATCGTTTGAGACGGCTGTAGAAAAGGATCTTGGTGCTACGGATGAGACCCCGAGGGCGGGGGCTCCGCTCCGTGCCAGGGCCCGGCAGGGGAGGGTCCCCGCCCCGGGCAGCCCCCGGGGCAGCGCTAAGGCACGGCGGGTTTCTGGGGACCCCGTGTGCGCGATCACCCGCCCCGGGACTACATGTCCCGTCGTGCCCCGGGAGAGCCGCGCCCACGCTTCCCACAATGCCGCGGGCCCCAGGCCGCCCCTGCTGATTGGTCCTTTCCAGCCGAGAGGAGGGCGGGGCTGGCGCTAGGCGCGCTGATTGGTGGCCGCTCCCGCGCTAAGGCACGGCGGGTTTCTGGGGACCCCGTGTGCGCGATCACCCGCCCCGGGACTACATGTCCCGTCGTGCCCCGGGAGAGCCGCGCCCACGCTTCCCACAATGCCGCGGGCCCCAGGCCGCCCCTGCTGATTGGTCCTTTCCAGCCGAGAGGAGGGCGGGGCTGGCGCTAGGCGCGCTGATTGGTGGCCGCTCCCGGAAGGGCGGTGGCGGCGGGGAGGGAGGCTGGGCCCCGGCCGCGTCCTGGGGCCTTTCCGGGGCAGCGCCGGTGCCGGCGGGGGGCGGGGCCTGGGGGGGCGCGGCGGGGGCT